TCTTCGCGCAAGTGCAAGCAATAAGTTAACAAAGTTTTAACGCAATCTGATAAATGGTATGGTAGCGCATAAAATAGGAACAAACAAACATAATATTTTGAAGAAGATAAGAACCGTGGTATATCAGAATGTTAAGGGTTCGCTAAAAATTTCACAGTACACGAGCAAACCGGCTGCGATCCCCGCCGGTACCAATGAAATTGTTAATTGCAATTCTAAGCGCTGATTTACCACGTGCTCGGCGGTGAAGGAAAACCTCATGATGAAATCACAGCAGGTCGGGGAATATTTCGAATACATGTGAAGTTCGCCAACACGCATTGGGACAGCGCGACGGATAATTCCTTGTCCTAAAACTCTCTCAAAAATGAGCGGGAGGCCTGTGTCCAGGAGTGGGACGTATATAGGCTGTAACTTTAACTTCTAAAAAGAAGATAGATGGAGATATAAAGGAACAAATCTCAGCAGATCGTTATAAATAGCAAATAACCACTGAAATCTAAATAATAATGCCCTATTATTTAGATTTCTGTGCAAATAACCAATGACTATTTTAAAAACCAGTAAAAAGCTGTAGAGTTTAGGAGTAACATTGATTAAAGAAAGATGTTTATTATTTTTTCAAAATTTGATTGATTTACAACAAGGAGCTAAATAACTAAATATATTAAAGACAGTTTTTTATCTGTAATAAAAATAAAAACCGCACTGATGAGACTGAATTTCAGAACATCGAATGTAAAATTTCTTAATATGGAGTATCTTTGTTCCCTCAAGATCCGAAAGGCGAGGTCGCAGGTATTTACAAAATTTTCATATTTACCGTTAGAAGTATGCAGGTACGAAACGTTAACAATATAAATATAATATCAAAACGGAGAATTTCGTTATGAAGATCGGATCGAGAGCCGGGAGAGTAAAATATGCGCCGCCCGCTTTCGAAGCAATGTCCCTGCTACTTTATAAATCCTGCCTTTACCTACCTTAGCGAAGTAACTTTTACGAGCGAAGTATTTCATCTATTTTTATCTCTTATTAAAGAGCAACTCACTTAACATTCGTTTTTCGCTTTGCCGTGTTTATGAAGTTTATTTTTATATAACTTTGCGTAGGCGAATCTATTTATCCTATACCAGTAAGAGAACGAGTATTAATAGTAAGCAAATTATTATTATTGGTTCCGCGTTTGGAATTGCCATTGATAAATTTGACAGAACTTATTTGTTAAATTTCTGTAAACCACTCGTCAATGTCTGTATGAAATTAATTTGAGAATTTAAAATCAATCCTTTGATGAAAGCGGTTTGTAATGAATCATGGGGAGGCAGATATATTTATTTATCAGTATTCATCTTATATCAGTATACGATTTAGAATTTTATAGATACACAAAAGTTGGTTAGACGGAATAGTTAACAGTCTACAAATGGTTGCAGGGAATAAGCACTCTTCTATTCTTATTGGTACGAGGTATTTACATCATACTGCAATGGTAAGAGTTGGCGGATAACACATTTCTTGAAATTTTCGAGAAAGGAACATAAATTAGATACTAATACTACAATTTAAGCATCAGAATTATAAACAATTCTAACGCATCAATATTTCGCCACTAGCAAAATGACTCTAAAGTGAACGTGGCAATTATGTGCTGAATGTAACCGCGCTCCGTTTGTCGTGTCGAAAGTCTGACTGCACACTGCCCTATATCCACGTAACAAATTTGCAGTTGCATTATTTACACCGTGTTACATTGTACGACGTCTCACAAACAGCGTAAATAATGACTGGATTCTAACAATATTCCCATTTTAAGAGATAAGTGGACTGGGTTTATTAAAAATAGAATCTATTGTCGCCTCTACTTAGATCTTGACTAACTCGCTCTAAAAATTAATTAGGTTGTAGGAATAAATAAAGAAATACGATTGCAGAGTGAATAGAGCAAACATTGCCCGCTTGGAAACTGATGGGTGTAGGTTTTAATTTACGAGCCACGTCACTGAGCGTTGCTCCTCGGAACGTGCAGTCCATTCATAATGCAATTACAAGACATGTTCATTTTCATTTAATCGTGTAATTACCTACCTACTTTATGACATAAGTAATTTTTTACACAATATGTTTTAGTAACAGTGCCCTATACTATTATTGGATGTGAATTTAAAAAAATACCTTCCAAAGAAGTCAAATATCAAATTTGACTTCGTATTGTTACCGGTACTTAGTATTTATAGATTATCATTCACCAGAAACGTATAATATTCTATTGAAATAACCAATCAGTAAAATGCCAATAAACATTAGTGCTGATTAATAATTAGAGCGTCGAGAGTGTTCAATTACTACAATTCATGAGCTAATTCAAGTCCGCATCAAAGCGTCGCGTCGCGTCGCCGCGGTCGCCTCACAAAGGGCGCATCACGGCCTGCATGCAATAATTAAAATAATAAAGCATCCCCGGGTTCCGGCGAACCACTCCCATTGTGTTGATATGACAAGTGTCTGTAATAAGTGGGACCCTCGTTCTATCGTTGGGGTCCGCGTGGATGACATTCAACCGGAGCCGGTCCACACACGTGAAGATAGAAGATTTTCGTTTATTATATAGGTATATTATGATAATATTAAATAGTATTTTTTTAATGAACTAATATTGCACACATCGAACGCGAATCGTTGTGGTTGAGTTTTACTGTCTACTTGACAAGGTACTCATTAAATCAGATTTCAATTATTATTCTCAGAGTAATTACATACAAACTTTTTTATTATATATCGCAATAAAACGTGTAGAAAATCGAGGAAACTGATGTTTTTATTTTTAAATACATTTTTCAAGGTTTGTGTATCCAATCCAGTCCAGTTAAGACTAGGTACATTGCAACGGTCGATGCTAGTGTATCTACACTAGCATCGACCGTTTAGGTTTTTCCTTTTTGTTTAAAAACTTACACCACATACGTACATTAGTACCCATATATGTAATTGCAGCTTGGATCTACTGCGGTAAAATAATACATTTTTTTTCTATAACTAAAAACATGGCCGTGACAAACGCCCAGAAAATTCGATAAGCCGAATTTTTCTCAAAATCTTTTAGGGATATCGCGAAAACACAGGGACCCTCCCTCCAGTCATACCGAACAGCTGTTAACACAGTATCCGATGTCTGTCATCGGCGGCTTTATATCGCATCGAGCAGATAGGACGCTACAGGTTGCAAATGCTCCTAATCCAATAATGCTCTTCGTTCCGCAATCCAATAACTAACGCCTGAGAAAATCTATTAGTATGAGTGTAACTCGGTCATTTAAATCGTACCTAACTTTTATAGATCTTATATTTTCACATTTATTATCAAAGTGTGGACTTGGTAGACCAATGCTGCAGCTATTTTATGGTTCTAGCAGGAATAGGTTAGCTCGACCAGAAAAGGACCACACTCTCACAGAATACCAGCGTAAAATAGCAGCAATATGTGTTTGGTATGGTGAGTGTAGAGAACAGGAGACCCTCTTCACTGGAAGGGAGGCATTCTGCTTAGTCCTCAGGGATGACAACGCATCTGCATTTTGATTTTTAATCATGGATTGATCTTAACAGAGGACAGCCATAGATATCCATGGGTACCAATGTAGTCTGTAAGTACGTTTGTCTCCCTTATTCTATAAATAAGGTAAATGAATAATCTTGCCTTACACTAATATATCCATGTACCTAACGTTAGGCAAGTTATCTTATTCATTGGACGTTGTAAGTCTTATTAGGGAAATGGAACGTGAAACATCCGATGTTAGACCAGAACATAATAAACTATATCGGTAATAGGGATCAGAGTCAAAAGTTCGAGACATCTTTTTTTATAGGAGAGGGGGCAAACGAGAATACGGCTCACCTGATGGTAAGTGATTACCGCCGCCCATGAACAGCTGCAACACCAGGGGGATTGCAGATGCGTTGACGGCCTTTTAATAAGGAATAGGCTCTTTTCTTGAAGATCCCTAAGTCGTATCGGTCCGGAAAAATCTCTGATGGTAGTTGATTCCACAAGAAAGTTGTGCGAGGGAGAAAACTGAAATGCGATATGAAACGTAGAGATGACCAAAAATATCCCAGCGATGGGACTCATAGCCCTAGGCCCCGAACATACTGAACGGAACGGAACGGAACGCCTATACATTTTATTGCGTGTAAATAACTAAAAAAAGTCCTCATAAGAAACCGTGACATATGTGTATAGTAATTTAGTATTTTTACCAAAGTTAAAACACCTAGACTGAGGACAATAAATACTGTAATCGTTTATGTGGCAACCGAAATGGACGATTATGGCTAATCTAATCCAATAACGTTGTTATACGTGGTAGAGCCAAGCTGCAGCTATATTATGGTTGTAGCACGAATGGGTCCGCTCAACCGGAGAAGGAACACGTTCTCACAGAATACTAGTGTAAAATAGCAGCTTAATACTGCTGTGTATCGTATGAAGAGTGTAGAGAACCGTATACCCGTTTAATTGGAATCGAGGCATTCCATCTTATTCCTCAAGGGTGACAAAGCATCTGCATTTTCATTCTTAATCGAGCTTAAATATAGATGTCTATGGGCCACAGCATCCACTTACCATTAGGTGGCCTGTGTGCTCGTTTGTCACTCGTATTTTAAGTCCTTACTATCGCAGTTTGTCCAGCAGCGGTGGACTGTTCGCGTGGAGAAGAGAAGACAATTTAGTAAGAGGCAAATTAACAAAGATGGTTAACGAACATCGTATCAAAATGTTTGAAATTTGAATATATTTTAAAGTTTCCTTTACACCGATATAAACGCGAAAACAGATGTATGTGCATTACAAACATACAAAAAATATTTTATGTATGCTTGTTAATATGACTGCATGACTATGATAGTGCTGTTGTGTGTGTTTTAGTGCTCCCGCCATTAATAAGAACAGAAACAAAACCGGTGTAACCTCCCCAACAGCGAGTATAGTTTGATACCTGTATCGATCATACAACGGAAGTGGTACTGACAGTCACGGCGCGCACTTACAGCTGGACGGACAGAGAGAAGCGTATGCAGAAACCTCTGTGCGGTGGATAAATGCATCTTGTACCTATACACATACACCACATTAGTATTGTGTAAATAGCTAAATAGTACGCGCTTATGAAGTATAAAATTGTCGTTAAGGGGAAATATAACCTCAAATGGCTTAGCAAGATCCTCCGTTATGCCGAAAGTATTGCAGCATTAATTTTGAAATAAATATATGGTAAAGTTGAGGATTAATGTTAAGGTTTATGTTAGACGAAAACACGATTCCGTAAAATTTTCTCGATAGAAAAAAAATCCAAAGTTACCTCCAAACTGAACAATAAACCGCTGTTATTCATAAAATCTTTAAATAAGATCATGAAACTTTGCATACTAACTGAACTAACTATAAAGCAGTGCTTATGTTATTTACTTTTTTTAAAATATCATTATTTTCACTTTAAAAAAGAAATTACCTAAACTATCGGCGCGTAAGCTTGGTTCCTGTCGCTCCGCAGGAATCGTGTTTTCGTCTAACATAAACCTTAACATTAATCCTCAACTTTACCATATATTTATTTCAAAATTAATGCTGCAATACTTTCGGCATAACGGAGGATCTTGCTAAGCCATTTGAGGTTATATTTCCCCTTAACATATGTTCAGTTACTTGTAAATCTATCACGCTAATATAATATCTATTTGTTTGACATTTTATTGTCAATGTTTATAATATATTTATAATTATTAAGTACTAGCTTGTACCCGGTATTATACCCCAAAGAAAAAATTGCGGAAATCTATTAAATTTTAAATAATTATGTTGTTTAATTTTTAAGTCCCTAGGTAACAATTTGTAGGTACAAATTATTACCTAGGTACTTAATATAATAAAATAACATTGATGATGTTTGAATTTTTAACGTGTTATCCCGTTTATCCACCCTAAAATTTATACTACTTTATTTTACTAATAATAAAGAACAAATTTATACTACTACCTAAAATTTATACTACTTTATTTTACTAATAATAAAGAACAAATTTATACTACTACCTAAAATTAATACTACTTTATTTTACTAATAATAAAGAACAAATTTACTACTATAAATATACTATTATTTTACTAAAAATAACTACTACCAAAATTTATACACTTTATTTTACTAAATAAAGAAAAATTTATACTACTACAATACTACTTATTTACTAAAAGAAAATTTATACTACTACCTAAAATTTATACTACTTTATTTTACTAATAATAAAGAACAAATTTATACTACTACCTAAAATTTATACTACTTTATTTTACTAAAAAAAAACTTATTTTACCTTAGAGTGGATAAACGGAAAGACCCTTTTTTAACAAATAAGTTGTTTAATTTTCCTTTGATTACAAGGTGACAACCCTGAAATATTTTCCATAAAATGACTAAATGTTCAAAATGTCTGCTTAACATTGCCTACCTCCTTAGTAAAAAATAAAAGTTTTACACTTTATGTCGTGGATAAGTAGGAATAATAAACCAATACTTTATGGGAGTTATTAAATCTGTTTATTTGGGAACGCACTGCGATCTTTTTGCGTAGGCAAAGTAGAGGAAATGCCATTAACTTTGCCTGGATATTTTGAAGCTTATTTTTCAGAAAATATAAGGTGTAGACCTCATAAAAACAAAAACCTCTAAATTCCTGCAAAGTTAGGGCATTTTACGATACCTTATAAATTCACATGTGTTTAAAAAGTTGTAAGTATTGTATTTTCATACCTTAAATACTTATTATATATGTTACAATATCTTTCATTGTCATAATAAATATTAAGTGCTTTAAGTGAGCAATTCTTGTACAAATTTATTCTGTGTGTTTTTTTTCTAACGTCGAGCAAAGCTCCACCGCCCAAATATGATATTTTTCCCGCCACATAATTTGCTATAACGTCACGCATTAGCAAATTGTGTGGTATTATGTGTTGCAATTAACCCATCGTGGTGTCCACAACAAACCTTTAATTGCATCTAAGATGAATATGCATGATTTAACAGGTAACAATTTCAACATGTTTAGCAAATAAGACAGTTTAAACCATCCACGTACACTTAGTACAATGTTAATGGAGTGTATACTACGAAATGGCCTACAAAAAGTGTACGCTGTCCTCTATTGGAGCGGCGTGGTACACGCGATTCCTGAAACAGGAATGCATTTAATACCAACAACGGAATAATGTCGGTAATTTAATGCCGTGTATACCCCCCTTTATCGCATGTCATTAAGAACCAAATAAACATTGTCGATTTTTTCACTTCTCGCTGACTTCAATAGACTCTAAAAATATTTAAGATCGTAAATCACTTGCTTTACACAAACACAAATACCCTAAATACAGGTAGCGCGATTTTTAACGAAAAAAATTGTTGTAGCAAATGAAGCCGTGGCCCAACAATTTATACATGTTATATTCTTGCACCACCACCGTGTGAATTCAGTTTCAGAGTTCTCCCTGATGATGGAATTGACACCGTCAATTCGAACGACCATCATCAGGGAGTCGTTCCATGGTGTTCCTAATAGGCCTCTATATGTATGTGTAAGATGTAAAATACCCGAACCGGCGGCAAGAAGTAACGTTAAAGATGCGATACTGCTAATGCAATCGAAACTGTTACCCACAATATTAGTACTGAACCATATGGAATAGAAATAAATTTTATAATATGTCTATACTATAACAGATAATGTATAAACAGTCGCTGCCTTTTTAAATGCGAAAACTGCATAAAAAACGGACTGCAGGTTTTACTGAACGTTGCTCCTATTCGAAAAAGGTTTTATGTTATCCTCAAGTCGAACCTAAATAAGCTCTATTTTAAAAGTAATTAGTAAGAAATGTCTTAAAATAATTTAAATTCATTATGATAATCTCAAAAAAAATGTACAAATGCGAAGAAAAGGAACGTGAATGGTCAGTTCTATATTCCTATCTTCTTCTTTAAACTACTATAATCCTTAAGCTGCTGCACGTACAACAGTATTAAGAAAATTGTATGTAATAACAAAAACACCAAGGAAACTCCATACATTTCGTTTTCTTTTTTTTTTTGAATGTAGAAATAGTTAAATTAGTATAATAAACACTTTAGTCTTTTACATAATATGTTACGAACTACATAATGGCTAACTGCACAATTTAAAATCAATATGTTAATATTCGCAAACGTGGTTACAGTCTCATCGATGTTAGCCTAGTTAAGGACGATAATCTTTCAGTAATAAATCAATGCTATCTATTTACACTTACCACTATGTGCTGTAAGTATCTAGCGCTAAACACAACGCACTCAATCGTTCTTACATTGAGCTGTATTTGGGCACAAAACGCTCATGAGGAATACTGAAGAAAAAACACTAATTGAAATTCAATGTATGCAAAACTAGAAAGAGGATGTATTAAGGAATTTTCATGTATCGACATTGACGCGAGAATTCAAGTTTACTGGTTTTTGTGAAATAATAGGTACTTTCTAAGTAATCAAGTTTTTGTTAAGCGATGTATAAATTAAACGTTAATGGTAAAATATTCGGGACATCAAGACAAAATTGGAGACTGGCTAATAAGGGCAACGGTACTTACCAGCACCGGCATTAAAAAACTGTGCCAGTTATACGGAGCTTTAAGTAAAACAAACAAGTATTTTGCTTAAATAAATATGGTACGATACTTTTATCTTATTTACAATAAGCTGCTCTGAATTATTATTATTTTTATAATTTAAAGCATTTAAAAAACTAATTCTGTCATAAACATTCGATCTGAATTTTACAAACAATTGATTATTTTGTCAAATCCTGCAAAAACCGTTTACATAATGCAACATTACTTTTATATTTATTGGATAGGATGCAATCAAGCACATAGTCCATCTGATGGTAAGTGGTTGCTGTGGCCCATAGATATCTACATCTATCCTCGATTACGAATCAAAATGCAGAGGACTAAGATTGAATGCCTTGTTTCCAGTAAAAAGGGTCACCGGTTCTGTACACTCACCATACGAAAGACAGCAGCATTAAGCTAATATTTTACGCTGGTATTCTGTGAGAGCGTGGTCCTTCCCCGATAATAAACCTTAGCCAATTGTCAAAATTTCGTTGTAACAAGCTGTTCATAATTCAAATAAAGTGCATAGCATGGAAATAGAGAAATGATTTCCGTATCAGTTGTTTTACCGACGGGGGCCGTTCGGGGTGGGCTGGGCCACCTGTGAATACGAGGGTTCAACGCCAAAGTATGTTAATTAATTTTCGGTTGACCGTCCACTGCTGTACGGTCGCTCGAATCTCTCTCGCGCGGTTTGCCGACATTTTGTTACGGCATATTATGATATTTCTGTTAACATTTGTAATGTACCGGTGTTTTTCAATCAGTTCCATATTGAATTTATGTTGTCTTACATTTTAAATATGGCAAAGAGATTTATATATATCACAAACATAAATATACAAAACATTTAATTACATGCTTTTAGTAGCGCGTTCGCCCTTCGCGCGTGGGATAAGGATAAGGGTAAGGCGTCAGAGCAAAGCGTCGCGTGCAGCGTGGCGTCATGTCAAACAAACGCACGCTCGAGTTGTATGGGAAATATGCGCCACGATACGATTTGCATTGAGACCTTAGGCTAAGTAAGATTTGGATATATTGACAACTTCACTTCGAACGGCAATTTTCATGACACTCGACACTACAAAATTCCTCTTTTATTGTAAGATACAACAAAATCCAGTCTGAGAAAACAATTAATAACAATTCAAATAAAAACTAATATTGGTTAAATAGTATCTATTTTGAGTTTACGTAATGATTTCTTATATTTACGCGAACACTACACATTGATTAAAACTACTTTTACGGATTTTATCGCGGGGACTGAACCCCCCACGTCCCATGGGTGCTGGAAAGCACCCGAAATCGGGTATTAAAAATAAAGTAAATAAAACGCGATAAAATCCGTAAAAGTAGTTTTAATCAATATTTTGAGTTTAATTATTTTGCACATTCTACAAAA